CGTTTTTGCCATTTTGGCTACGGAACCCTAAAAAGGGGAGGTCACGTCTTTCTTGTCACAGATATCTGCGACACCAAAGTTTTTAAAGGATCGGCAAAAGGGGTAATATGAACATGACATGAATGTTCGATTTAACTTTCCGCATCATATTGTTACATTCAACGAGGAAATCGGTAAAATACGAAAAAAAACTTTTCGTACTATTTGAATTGCAGTGTCAAAAATGACAGACTCAACTTGAGGGTGGAAGTGATTCGCTCACTGAATTCTAATAGATGGATCTTATGCTTTAATAAAGCTTTGGTATGCTACTTTTTCGGCATAGAGTTCGATAAATAAAAAGCCTAACCTTTTAGCGTATGTGATTCTGGTAATGGGATTCTGGAAGTGGCAATTGGCAGGGCACATAGTACTCAGAACTGACGGCCGATGGAGCAGCAAGGTTCTGGAGTCGAGGCCACGTACCCGAAAACGCAGCGTGCGACGTCCATCCACAAGGTGGACCGACGACCTGCGATGTGGAAGTTTAGCAGTCCTATGGCTGAAATGATGATGATGATTCTGGTAAACGTGCTTAAACTTTGTAGTTTCAATAAAGTTACAAAACGAAACCATCCAAAACCTAATACTCAAAAACAAGCGTCAAAATATCGCTATAAATTCATCAAACCCAAAATACAATATTACTTTCCAAGTTATAATGTAATAAATTGGTGGGTGTAACGAGTTTCCACTTACTTAGCGAAATGAGAGCGATTCCTGGAAGACACGTGATTGCGGATTGAGAGCTTCGAGTTTGGTTCCGAGTGTTTCGTGTTTGATGAGGCGGCTCTGCGTGGGAACAGAATCATTTAACAGCGGCGGTGTTACAGAATTGTTATTTGGTCTGTTTTTCAAATTGCTGCTTTCGTTAATTATGCAAATACGGGCGTTAATTAAATGTAGATTCTCGCTTCGAGTTCTCGGAAACCTATTTCTACAATTATTTCTGTTATGATTAACGGTATACTTCTACGAATTTACTTGGTTACGAAACAGACACAATGTTGCGTTTTATTTAGTAAAGCTGTGGGTTGCAATAATAAATTCATATTTTGACGGAACCCGTGATCCTATGGGGCTGCTGGGATTGCCATGAATAAGACATGGCGACACGCCATGAGTGCCATGTGAGCTATGAAAGCAACGCGTGGGACACAGCCTGTGAATATTGCAGTATTTGTACTCCATTGTGCTGGGTCTGGAGAAAAAAGCGGTGAAGTGTGAGACGGGAGATTAATTGACGGGTTCTGTACTCGGTTTCTGAATCTATATTTTTGGAAAATGAGCACGCTCAAGGTAAATACTAAATCCGCACGGGTGCTGAAATCCGCATCATAGGAAAAAGGCACTTATAATAAGTCCTTAGTTCCTTACCATAAATGAACAGTGAAATCGATTTCCGATCGGAAATACATAGATGTAAGTAAATAAAATAATAAATTGTATTAGTCTGTCAATTTGAGACATTTTGTAATATAAAAAAACGTCCTCTTAGAAGTCTTAAAATACATCTCAAAATCGGTTTCTGAATATGTATGAAAATTTAATTACTGTACAGCATAGTATGTATTACGATTGCCTGTGGAATCCTATAACGCGAATTGGTACACCGTCACGCCCCCTCTGCACAGTGTTTGCAATTTTCCCATAAACCATTCCCATAGTTTATACGCTGGAGCGTTATTTTGCTCTGTCGCTTTGCGGATGTTGTACAATGTATATGGGAGTTTCCGATCCATCGGTTCGCGATGACATGTCATTATGGACGTTAATTGCTCGCTGCGGGCTGTTTGAAATCTGAGACACGAGACTGTTTATGCAGAAGGTTTATGGCTCGGAAATGATCTATCTGGGGCATTGATAGTCAGAGGACTATTCCGAGGATCAGAAATAAGGTTTCGTTCGTTCCATCGTTCGTTTCAGCCGAAAGACGTCCACTGCTGGACAAAGGCCTCCCCCAAGGATTTCCACAAAGACCAGTCCTGCGCCGCTCGCATCCAGGCACCTCCCGCGACCTTCACCAGATCGTCGGTCCACCTAGTGACCTAGTAAGGTTTAGGGAATCATAATTAAAAGGGACAATATTATTTGATCCTCTAAAAACTAATTGATCTTTTTTGTATGTGCACTTTTAAAAATAAATGATGTTTTTTATTATATTTTATCTTTATATTAATTATTGGGTCTATATTAGTTGATCTACGGATAAATTATGAATGATCTTCATTTAAGGTAACATAATATTTATGTTTAACATACTCTTTTAATATTTGGTAAACAAAAATAATATTTGATCCTCTTTTTTAGTTATTGATCTTTAATTTTGTTAATTTGATGATTTTTATATCAAGTTTGCCTTTTAATATTGATCACCTAATAAATACATTTCGATCTATGTATAACTTAACTTTAAAATATATTTGATCTAACAAAAAATATTATTGGTTAATATTTTTAATTAAAAAATATCTTTTAATTTACGCGGTACTTTGTGGTTGAGTGACAATCGTCCGTCATTGGTTACTGAGTTGGCCAAGGGCTTAGCGGCAAATAAGCAAGCAGAATGGTACATTGCCATGTTTGTTTAAATTACAAGCTTTGCTTAGTTTGGGACTAGAGGCGCTGTGTAAAATAATTTCTTACTTCTGTCATCCCTGAATCCGACATCATATTTTTTACCTCTTTATTTTTTTTTTCAAATCGCAAGGTTGATTTTCTCTTAGTAACTATACCGATCTCGACCGTGATCAGTGACCATAAAGTCATCTGTCAACGGGTCGATTAGACACGATAAAAGCACTAAACGATATTTGTTTACTTTTAGTGCGACATCGGGTCGTAAGGACCTGATAAGTTTTTTTTTCCAAATATTTACTGTGTATTAATATTTATTGTTTCGTCAAACAATTGCAAAACAATATGTATCTTTCGTACTACTGAAAAGACCGAATATATCCATCCCGCACCAACGCATCCAGCACCTAAGGTCAATTCGACCCGATAACGCAGTGTGAACGTGTTCAGTATGCTTTTTTAATAAAAAATAAATCTTTGAACATCAAGTGCCTTTAAATAGTTTTCATCCTTTGACTACAACTTAATAAAAATAAGTACCATAACATCATTATTTTGAAGAATATTTGATATAGACAAAAAATAATTTATACAAATCGAATTATTTAAAAAAGTATCACAATATTGAATATTTGCTGCTCATTTCTTTTATTTTTGAGGACCAACAAGTAACGATCAGATATAATTTTTACATCTCAATAATTTTTTGCGTAGTTCAAAAGAGATTAAAATATCGATCGATTTCATTTATTTAATGTCTCAAAGAAAGAGGATCAATCATTAAAATAGATGACCATTTAGATTTTTTTAATTGCCGTTTTTGCTAATTTAAAAAGATCATTTAAATACATGCCTAATTAAAATAATTGCTTCAGAATAATGCCACACTACTGCTTTAAACAAAGCAGAGCTTTTTCTAGAGATAACGGATTTACGTCGAAAAATACTCGTAGAACTTTCTTGACTCTGGATTGTGCCTACATAATGTTCATAACCGTCGAATTTCCAAGCTAGGAACGAGCCTACTCTCTCCCTACCCATGTCGTGGTAGTCATGTCGTCGCATTGATCGACTTTTAATGATGCTTCCGACGGAGTTTTCGAAATATTCAAATTCGAAACTGTCGGAATACATCACGCTGAGTTTGTGACGCGGGCACGGGGTACACTGGGACATGCCTGAAAAGGAACCCGCCCTTTCAAACGGTATGTCACGAGTTTGAAGAGTTGGGAAGATTGTGGTTTTCTATGGGTTTAGCTAATCCAATAGGAGGTAAACTCGAAAGATTAGGTATGACATGCGTTTAAGATAAGAGGTTATGTTTATGTCTTCAACTGCATGCCAGTTACATTAAGTAAAACAGCGATAGGAGGCACATTGTATTGTTGTTCTGTCAGCACGAAGTAGCCACTCTCGCTCTCTTCCCATGAATGTCAATAAGAGGCGATTAAGTAAGAAATATGAAGTGTATGTTAACGCCAGACCTCCCAAACACGTCTGGCCAGCGTGGTTAGTCTAGGCCAAATCCTGGACGAGAGATTACTCCTCTATTGTTTACCAGAGACTTTCAGGTAAATAAGAGATAATCGTGTTGGCGAAATCCCCTGGCATATATGGTGTTCCTCCTGCAGTAGAGAGTATATAAGACGATGATGTTGATTTGATGTTATATTTCACAAATTACTAATACTCCCGCTAGCCCCTCGCTCGTACTAAGCTAAAGTGCTTGTGTCACGAGTAAGCTCACCACAATAGTCGAGCGGCGGCGGCGGGGACCGAAGCCGCGTTCCCCGGATCACGAGTCAGCCAGTCCGACCCCTTCACCGTTCGGCTATCGGGACTTCATGATCATCATCATCATCATTTCAGCCATAGGACGTTCACTGCTAAACATAGGCCTCCTCCAATGACTTCCACATCGCACGGTTGGTAGCGGCTTGCATCCAGCGCCTTCCTGCTACCCTTACCAGGTCGTCGGTCCACCGTGTGGGTGGACGTCTCACGCTGCGTTTTCCGGTACGTGGCCTCCACTCCAAAACCTTGCTGCCCCATCGGCCGTCAGTTCTGCGTACTATGTGCCCTGCCCATTGCCACTTCAGCTTGCTAATCCGTCGCGATATGTCAGTGACTTTAGTTCGTTTACGTATCTCCTCATTTCTGATTTGATTTTCATGATGATGATGATGATTTGTTTACTAGAGTCTGGTCTGTGAGCACGTAGAATTTTGGCCAATGACCCCAAGCTACCCACTTACTGCGGGCGCCCGTCGCGCCGTCGCGACAGCAATATAATTACGCGCGAGCGATAAGGATGCGTAGCTTGGGGTCAGTGGACAATATTCTACGTTCTTCCAGACCGGGCTTTAACCTATTTTATTCCGCAGGCGAGCACCGAGCCCTACTTCCCGTTCCTGGGCGCGCACGCGCCGCCGGCCGGCTACCGCGCGGAGCCGGACGACGACGGCGCCGTGCGCTGCTGCTGCGTGTGCTACACCTTCCTGCGCCAGCAGTGGGAGCAGTACGACCGCGAGAACAAGCCGCACAGCCAGCGCTTCTACTGGATGAAGCGGCTCGACGGGAAGCCTTTCATCGGTGAGTCCACCTTCGTGCAGTACCTCTAGCATGAACAACTCGTCTTCGAATCGTTTGCGTATTCGACAAAACTCTATACTTAACCTTCGAATTAAGTGACAATTTTGATTCTCAAAATAAGTTTCGTGCGACCATTTCTTATACTAGGTTCACTTTACGACACGTTCACAAGGGCGCTGTTGTAGTTTTCGCACTAAATCTTTTGATGGCGATTCGAGTACGCAAAAGATTCAAACTCGAAAGTTTTTCGTGCTAGCCGTACTGACAGGTTTCCAGGCAGGCCAAGAAATCAGACAAGGTCCTTGATCACACCTAATGTTATTGTTAATGTGCAGGTGTGATGCAGTTTAGGCTTACATAACGTTTAATTAAGTTCCTAAGAGGCTGTGGTCTAGTCTAGTAGTTTTGGGAGAGATATCACTAGGCAGCGGCTCCAGTCTTTTCTCGTTTTCTCACACTTCTTCGTAGAAACTCGACTGAATCCAAAGTACCTAAGGATTTTGGCAGGTCCATCCTAGAGATGGACATCAACCTATTGATGATGTACAAGCTCTCCTTCAATGGAGGAGAAACTAACCGACATAGTCAGCAGAATCGCTAAACTTAAACGGCAGAGGGCAAGGCACATAGCTCGTAGAATAGGTGTCCATAGAACGTACAAATAGTTGCTGTCTAAACTCTATGGCAAACTGCTGTAGTATTTATTCCTTTCAAATACTCCACCTTTATTATTTCTCAAGTCGGAACATTTTGAGCCTATTCAATCTTGCGATCACGGCCAGGTCTAAAAATAACAAAGCATTAATTAAAATATTCGACGATCAAAAAGCCACTCCAATTTGCCAACGTTAATTAAGCTAAATAGAAACGGTGAAATGAAAATAGACGTTTATAAAAGCATTATCGCGGACCAAACGCTGAAATAAACGGAGGTTGTTAGGCTGCCTGTCCACCCACAGTAGCGGAGCGAGGTGATGGAGCGGTGAGCAAGGTAGATCCATCAATTGAATTTCGTTAAACTCCGCTCCGCTTTAGCTCAGATTAAAAAATCATACATAACTGAGAAGCGGAGCGGGAGAGCTGTACATACTTTCTTCGTTCCGCTTCCTAGCTCCATGTTTATGAATAAACACAGTCCGCATCTCCGCTCCGCATTAATCCCTCACTCCGTTCCAGTGGATATTAAGCTTTAAGCGAAAACAGAAAAAGCTTAACCAAACACCGGTGTAGGTGGGTCGAAACGATTTTATCAATTGGAATCCAGATAAGGTATCCTTCCGTTTGGCCAAATTACTTTTCGCCAAATTTCACTTCGCAAACAACTTATCGCCAAAGTTTCATTTCCCAAATGAACTTTTAGCAACTGTACTTTTCGCAACTAATTCATTTGGTCAAATTATCATTTGGCCAAATTTTACTTGGCAAATGTTTATATAGCAAATGTTTTATGTTGCCAAATATTATATCCCAAATAATTTGTTTGGTCAAATTGACACTTCACATACTTACCCACCGTTACCCACAAATCAAAGCATAAGGCACATGATCATGGTTTTCACAATAATTTTATGTAAAACATTGCAGAAAATAGTATGGTTGCAAAAAGTAGGTATTGCAGAAAATAGTAGGTTAGGTTAGGTTAGAACAGTGACCCTTAATGCGCGAAGGCGAGCGAAGCGTGCCGCGGCAGCGGCCGCCGAGCGCTAGAATCACCTCTATTGTTAATGAATCGTTTGAAAATTTCGATACAAAGAATGAAATAAGGAAATTAATGTAGAACAAATTTTATATTAACTCCCCACTAAACAAAATAATAACCACAAGCTAATTTGTAACCATTCTATGCACCAATCAAATTATTTTGTAAATAGTTTATCGTGAAATATTTTTGCCTAATGAAAAATTTGGCAAACCATACTTTGCCAAACAATAATTTGCTAAACAATAATATGCCAAAAAAAACATTTGCGAATTAAAAGTTTGCAATAACTTGCTTTGCCAAATGAGAATTTGCCAAATGAAAATTTGCGAAACGTTGTTTGCGATGTGATAATTTGGGAAACGTTTTTTGGCCAAACATTAGTAATCCTCCAGATAAATATACAGGCCGTGGACGTTTTTATTGCAATTAGTTGCCTGTCGCAGCTCTTATAGAGTTGGATAAATTTATGATAACTAAATCTTATCGAGCCAAGGTTTTGTAGTTTAGCTTTTGCAAGCGGTTGGTATGGGTAGATTTTGATCACAATGTATAAATGTACATTTTTATACCCCATAAGTTATCCGAAGATGAGTTCCACGTATGAACTGCTTTGCAAGACAAAGTTACAACATGACAGTTATTTAGCTTTTGCAAGCGATTGGTTTGGATTTGACAAAGTATAAATATAAATTTTTATACACCTGCCCTGAAGATATTTGGAGATGGGTTCTACTTGTGAACTGCCTTCCAAGTTCCAAGTCAAAGTTACAACGTGACAGTTGTAATTCCGAAATCGCTTCGCTCAGGCGTTGTAGTGACTTTGCTCTGTGAAGCAATTTCGAATTGAAATTATCACGAATGTTACTTTGTTTCGGCACCCATCGTGAGCGAGAGAATCGCGCTGAAGCATTGAACTGTTGAACTTCTTTCGCGCCAATAACAAACTGCAAATACACTCGCAAATCGCGTCCCAAGTCAACGTCCAGCGACAGGAACCGCGCGTTCCGGTTTATTGCCGCGCCCCGTGACGCCCGTCGATCCCGATCAGCAGAGAGACAAAGACCCGGTCAAAAGCAGGCGAGAACGGCCAAGGAACTTGGGCAATATATTTATATGTAACTTGTTTTCAAAAGTCGACTTCTGCAGTACTCTTGTACTTTCTTTCGCGCGTACTGCAAATACACTCGCAAATCGCGTCCCAAGTAACGTCCAGCGACTGGAACCGCGCGTTCCGGTTTATTGCCGCGTCGATCCCGATCTGCAGGAGATAAAGACCCGGCCGTAGAAGAGCGAGAACAAAACTAATTGAAACTTGTACACATATTACACTCTCACTATAGGCCTTACACAGAAGCTCAAAGTTGCACAGCGTGCTATGAAGAGGGCTATGCTTAGTGTTTCTTTACGAGATCGAATCAGAAATGAGGAGATCCGTAAACAAACTAAAGCCCGATGGATCCATAGCCCGATGGATTAGCAAGCTGAAGTGGCAATGAGCAGGTCACATAGTAAGCAGAACTGACGGCCGATGGGGCAGCAAGGTTCTGGAGTGGAATTCGCGTACCGGAAAACGCAGCTTGGGACGTTCTCCCACAAAGTGACCGACGACATCATAAAGGTAAAGCAGGAAGGCGCTGGACGCAGGCCAACTTTTAACCGAGCAACATGGAAAGCATTTGGGGAGGCCTATGTTCAGCAGTGGACGTTCTATGTCTGAGATGATGATGATGACACATATTACATCAACGGTTCTTGTGAAATATGGACTGGCTGATCCCCCCAGACTGTGCGAAAGGGATCGCTATTACTAAGTTGCGAGACTTGCGAATCGTCGGACCGGCGCGATCGCTCATATTGGCTACGGTCCGGATTCACTCCGGACTTTATGCCTTTTATGGGCTCCGCTTGAATGAGATGTTCAATGTGCCAGTGTTGATTTGCGCCATCGCTTTTGAATAAACAACAAAAAAAACGGTACAAGAACATTTTAATTTGCTAGAATAAAATAGAATTAATACACCTATCGCTAAAAACAAACGCCAAATACCCATGAAAGAAAAAACTGGATGATATTATTACTCAGTTCTGCTGGCACAATAGCTCAGTAAATCGACACAATAAACGGCGAACATCGCAATTTTATGTGCCGATACCGATAGTCCGATGTGGATATTGACTGGACTACAAAATACAGATTATTTTTTCTTTGTCTGACCCGAACTATGCACTGTAGTGGTCAGTTATAATTTTTTGTCACATTTACAAATACTTGTCTCGCTTTTAACATTTGACATCCATTGAACTAACAAACAGAAACACACATCTTCTTTTATCTTTGTTTGATTTCAATTCTTCGTAGCCTATCAAAGTTAATTCTCATTTTACAGCTTTATGATTCACTATCGACACTAACATATCTGTCGTGTTGAAGTGTGCGCGTCCAATCCGGGCCGACAATGGTCCCTCGCGAGGGTCCAAATCGCCACTAAATGTTATCTCGACAAGCCGGAGGGGAGGTAATCCTCCCAGCCTACGTTTGTTTTGGCCTAGGTTCATAGGGCCGGTGCATGTAGCACTGAATGGATCAGAATAACTGATTTTGAGAATAACTGAGTTTGATAGTCAAAATTCCTTTATGCATAGACTATTATAAATAGTGCTTACAAATTGTCAAATATTAAAAAATAAAAGACAATAACAAGTAACAAACGTAACAAGGAAAGCATTGGGGGAGGCCTATGTTCAGCAGTGGACGTCCTATAGCTGAGATGATGATGATAAAAAGACTAATTAAAAAAATGCTTTAAAAGTTTTGCTCTTATGAAGCCTTCACGTGTCTCATGATCTTTTTGCCCTACCAGGGCTTCGTGACCAACATTTGGCAAGTGCTGAGAAGAAGCGCTGCAACAAACTCAGTCACGATAAAAAGCAACTAACTAGGCCCATTTAAGGCCCATTTTTATGGCTAACTTTTTATAGTTTTATCAAAACCTGGTATTCACTGTTTTGAATAAGTATCTGGGCAAACTTGCTCCTTTATAGATCGCGTCTCTTTTCGAGTGGCGTGTAATCAAGAGCAATTTTCCAAATTTCTTTGTCAATTCTGTGGATCTATTTATATTTCGTTGTGACATTTTTTTTACAAACTTTTGCTTTATGATCGTCAAGACTATTGTTTGGTGTTTTGGCAAGTCTGTTTCTTTTGCTTTTGATAAAGACCAAATTTCCTAGTCGTCAAGTCTCTCGATCTATTTATATTTCGTAGTGACATTTTACAAACTTAACTTTTGCTTTTGGA